ATTAAAAATAAACTTAAAACTAAAAATTTTTTCGTAATCTATCAAGGAAGTATTTTATTACATGTTTTAAAGACTGTAACAATATTTTATGTAAAGTTCTTACTGTCATTGTTGATTAGATGCTTCAATAATAGGAGCCAGCCTTATTTTTGCTTCCATGACAGTACTTAGAATTATCTAAAAAACGCCGAAATACACCAGAAGTAACCTCCCGACTAAATTTTCAGTTTGATTAAAAATATATGTAGGTAGGTATATATAATAACAGTTTTACCTAAAAAAAAACATTGCATTCGTCCGTACCTACAATAACAGCATATTATTATTACAGTATTTCATACAAAATTCTTTTACTAATTCAAAATTTTAATACGATACAGATTAAAAAAAATGTCGGATATATTTACAGAGAATTATATTTAAAAAAAAAAACATTAATTTATTAAGAGACACATTCTGTGTTTTACAGAAGTATCATTAACAAAATCATCTGAGTGAATCTTGGGGATGGTATATTATGTCTATTTACAGTTTCATTACAATTTGTACAAAATAAAAAAAATGCAAATAAAGATTTGTACTATTTAACTAAAACTACATGATAAACTGCAAAGTTATAATTATTATCAGCTTCTGTCCGGGTTACTTGGATAAATAACGACCATATGTGTCTTTCCATGATATAACCTATCTCTATGCCAAATTTCATTCGGGTCTGTTCAGTTGTTTTTACATTTGAGAGTAACCTTTATACATATATACTTACAAACTTTCGCTTTTATAATATTTGTTGGATGACATATAATTATTTTACGTCAGCTATGTTAGGAGACTATTATTAATTATGGGTGAGCGAGTAATACTACTTTTAACTATAATATATTACACTATGTATAAAGACAATATGATATCACATTTTGCGTCGATAGAAAAATTGTTTTCTTTCAAAATATGATCGCAAGGTAGAGTTTCCCTGTAAACTGTGAAATTGGCGTATTTTATAGTACATTATTGTTGTAATATTACAAGTAGGTATTATTCGAATTATTCGATTAACAATTATTGTTAATTGAAACACTCATAATCCGTTCATATTATACCAAGCTGTATTATACGAATTATTCGTAACTGGATCAAATACGTATCAAATGATTTTATTCGAATTATTCGACTAATAATTATTCAGATTATTCGAAATTATAGAAAAATTCACCATCCGTTTATGTTATACCGAGCTGAATTATACGAATTATTCGAAAGCTGGAAACTATATTATTTGGGTATGAAATCATTTATTCATTGGCAAATACTTCTAAAAGGTTCCTTCTGAATTTAATAATATTATTCGAATTATTCGAGCCAATATTATTCCAGCTACATACAACGCATTTTCCGAATAATCGCCGACTGTTTCAACCCGTAATATCTACAATAGTATAAACGTTTTTTAAGTTTTAATAGTACCTAATTAAAAATGATCTGTGACCTACATATTTGATATACACGAGTTAAATTTGAAAATAGGGTGAGTATGGTTATTTTTTGCCAATATTTTAATAAATATTACAAAAATTGTATAATATTGATTGAGATAAGGTAATAGTATACCGTGATATTAACCGAGAAAAGCTCTACTAGTTTCAAGTCACAACGGGACTCTTACGCAGGTCAATAACTTATTACTTTAAAACGTTATTTTAAATTTTGTGAGAAAATGAAGATAAAATTAATACATTATAATATTTAAAATGGAAAGAGGTAGTATTTTGAGACTCATTAATTCAATTTCAGATTAAAGTTGTTATTTTGGAGGTAAAATGTAGTTAAAAAAAACTTTAACTCTAAGGGAAGGAGTCTCATAGAATATAATTATTGCTTATCACTGGGCATATTTCTAATCTGCGGATTGTGAATAAGATTTTTGAAATTATAAAAAAATTTAATGCCCGTTTGGCGCGGTGGCCAAGCTACTCGTTGTCGCCGAACGTGTCGCGGGTTCGATCCCGCACGGTACAACTCTTTGTGTGATCCACAAATCTTTGTTCCGAGTCTGTGTGTGATGTGTATGTGAAATTGTATGTTTGTAAACGCACCCACGACACAGAAAATCCTAGCGTGAGGCTACTTTTTTTTTCACAACTATATTTGTATTTCCCTTACTCTGTGGTGTGTCTCGTGGTTTCAAACCTACGATCTCCCGAGTCGCATACGACGCACAGGACCAACGTATAATTAAATTTCACAAAATATGACTTCAATTTATAAAAAAAAAAAATTGCCGACATTAAGACGTCCCCTATGACCGATCATAGGGAGCTGCCTTTATCCGGCAGATGCTGGTTATTGGCGCAGTGTATGTTCGTTAGTGGACTCACGTCCGGTATTAGGATATTAGCTTAAAATATAGGTAAGCAGCCACTTTGATATTCGTAAAAGGGAATGACGTAATTTGGATTAGAAACTATAAATGCTACAGAATACTGTCCGGTGTTTGGAATTGGGGATAAAATTACATTTTTTAAAAGGACACACATACTGTACACATTTGTATATACAGAAAAGAGGCACTAAAACTAAGTACCTACCTACACATTTTTGATAAAAAAACTCTGTAACAGAAAGCCAAAAGGCCCAATGCCAAACATCATCATCAAAAAAAAAAACAATTTCCTATTTATAATCTATGGATTATAAGAATCACAAATTAAGTCATTCCCTTACCTTCCTACATCTAATAAATAAAAACTATATCTAAGTTACATATAAAAATATATATATACCCATTATATGTGTTTCATTATAATTGTAATATACAAAATATAACAGAAACATTGTTTGGGAATTATTTTGTGTGAGTGACAGACAACACAGCTGTAACTATCATGTGTCCAATTAGTCTAAATGTGGGAGAGCCATGCTTAGGCACGAATGGGTCGGCTTAACCGGAGTGATACCACGGCCTTACAGAAAACCGGCGTGAAATAAGCCAGCTTTGTGCTTCGACACGGTCCGTAACGTTTCGCGCGCGTCTCAAGGAGCCTATAGACCACCACAGTCGGGGCCCTACAGGGCTGATGTTCAGCCATATGTACTTTCTATGATTATTTAGACACCACTGACAAACGATAAAGGAAAGCATCGTGAGGAAACCTGGACTTAGAAATTATAAGTTTGAAATCGCCAATCCGCATTGAGCAAGCGTGGTGATTAATGCTTAAAGCTTCTCCGTGTGAGAAGAGGCCTTTGCTCAGCAGTGGGCTGTTATAGGCTGATGGTGTGGTGTGAAAGCTTGATCATGCAATTACAAATTTAAAACTAATTTATTTTCTGTTATATTATGTATACTTATATACATATTACATTAATAATTACATTTTATATATATAATATATTGATAAGCATTATTTATTTATAATAAATTGTATTTTTAATACGGGGCCCTCGTATCGCTTAGTGAAATTTAACGAATTTTAATTTCTTTTTAAAGTCCATCTTATAAGTAAATTCAAAATATTAGACGCTTTTTTTTCTTTCCTTAAATAATCAAATTATCTTCTTACATATTCGAACCAACTTGATAATGTACCAAATAACCTGTAAGTATGCGAAACTGATTTAAAAAGAGTAACCATGGAGTTTCTTGCTCGTTCTTCTCCATCGGAATCTACACTTTCGAACGAGCGAATAGCTTCACTAAGAGGATTGACCGACAGACTGAAACTTTATATCTTTAAGCTTTGTTTGACGTTCAAAAGTGCCTGGTAGGGTCTAATTTAAATAAATCACTTTCGAAGTTATATTATATAGATTTAAAATATAGTGTGACTGTTGATTAAGGGCTGATTTTTCAATAGTTAGATAAATGTTGTCTGAGGAATAAAATTGTTGCTGTCACTGTCTTATACAAACATTCTGACGCGACAGCATCATGATTATTACCCAGGTAACTTTTATCTAACCATTGAAAAATATGCCCTAAGTACGTTTTAAACTTAGCAGTGACAAAATAAGCTCTCACTTCATAACAAAAAAAAAAACGATTATCTAAGTATTGTTTTTCTTGCGGCAAAAAAATCTGCGTCTAATATTTTTTCATTGTGTATTCCCGATGGACTAATTACATTTTTTTTACTTTAACGATGTTTGTGAAAACATACATACAGGGTGTAAAAAGAGACAACGAAGCCGTTAACTACGCATGCTGCAGTTCTAACTAAGTAGCTTTACGCTAAAATTATCACTGGGAAACGACTTTATTTTTAGGGTAAAAATAATAATTTTATTGCGCGCAATGTAAAGCGAACGGGCTTCGTGTCATTGTGTGCGTAGGTTCACAGCTTAGCATTAAAACGCTGTGATAAGTACGTAGGTCGACGTTTTACTTCGCAACAACAAAACAATTCTGGAAAATAAAAATCCTACTGAGATGCACGATGTTTTTTGTGCGGGTCTGCATTTATTTATTACGTACATTACTGTTCGTAACTTCAAATGCGTAATTTATTTAGAAAAATCGAAAATTCAGGCAATGTTTGTTTGGAAAAAAGTTTTGTAATAATACTTATAATTCGATTGCGCAAAAAAAAAAAATTAAAAATTCATCTTTGACCTTCAATATCTCGAAAAACCGTAGAGTCCCAGCTATTGTCTTAAAGAAAAAAATGATTCAAATAATGGTTAGAATACGTGGCTATCGGCTTCGTTAAGTGTCTTTTTACACCCTGTATGTAGGGGTAATCCATTAATCATGCGAGACTGGAAGTGGGTATAAAAGGGTCCATAAAATTTCACTAGAGGAGTATGTATAGTGGACATATAAAAATCAATGCCACTTTTCGTTGTAATGTTATAACTGAACAATGCTTTTACCGATTTGGCAAATTTTTGTCTTGAATTATTCGTGGAAGTCCAGAAAAGGTTTGTATGAGAGAAAGTTTTCAAAAAAAAAGTGTAGTATCGGCATCCACGCGGGCGGAACCGCTAGAACTGTATTTATCACGAACTGTATATATCACGAGTTTTTTTTTTTGATGAATCCATTTTGATCTTCCTAAAAGCACTTTGCCTTAATTGTGCCAAAAAACACAATGATTAATGGATGACCCCAAAAACGAAGCGGTCCAAGATACACTGGGTAACTTAAATCACATAATTATTTCACAATAAATTCACACTATTATTGTAACGCCATATTTTACAACGAGAGGATAAAACATTTAAAACCGCTACTATAAGGTGCACTTTGAATTGGAAATACTATTTAATAGGAGTGATATATTCTTTAGAAATTCATTCCTAGTTCAAAAGGTCCCGTTGTGAATATAATTGTATAGGTAGCTAAGCTTTTTCAACACCGTCCTTATTCCGTTGCGCTAACCGCCTTCTCCTATGTATGAAAGGGACAAAACCCCATAAGGCAGCGCCAAAAATTAAAACGAATCCTAGGGTAACAAATAATGATTTGTAAGAATGCGTGTATTCAAACCAGAACCCGCATATTGGAGGTCCGATCAACTGCAATATGCCGTTTACAAATAAACTTATACCGTAGGATGACATTAATCGTTCGGTACCCAACATCTCCGTCATAACCAGAGCGGTGACTCCAACGTTGATCCCCGATGCAATACCGAAAATGGAACAAAACGCACTGATAGCCGAATAACTTGAAACTAAAGGTATCATTGATAAGCTTATACCTGACAATAACAGACCGAAAATGAAGAAATAACGTTTAGGAGTCAATACTAAATCAGACAACGCTGATCCACCGATTCTACCGACCAAATCCAGCGCGGATATTATTGAGAGCAAATAAGCTCCCAGCGATTTATCGAAACCGCATTCTTTGGCGTAAGAAGGTACGAGAATAATGAAATTTGTATAGGAAATGGCGCACGTACAATTCGATATGAGAATGACTAAATAAATTGGGTCTTTGAGTAATTGTATGTCGAAGTATTTGCTGGGTTCCTTTTTGGCATCATCTTCTTTAGATTTCTTTTTGCAACCACAACAGTAACTGATGGGTGCTAAACTATCGGTAACTGATTTCAAACTGAATTGGGAGGCGAACTCGCTCGGTTTCTCAAAAGCCGATAACGTGGACCCGTGGAACGGCGTAGACATGTATTGGAAACTCGAAGTAGACGGACTACGTTTGGGAGTTTTTGGCACGCCCAATTTTTTGCCAAACGCTTCTTGGGAGTTAACCCGACTACGACCTTCTGGGACAGATTCTAAGAGCGAAGGGTTACTTGGTAAATGGCTTTTGCTTGATATGTTCTGAAGACCATGTCTGGATGAAACCGGAGTCGGTTTCCGGGTTCGATCCACGTCTTTGGAAGTGACCTGAACAGCGCTAGCAGATCTCGCGAAATCCTGTTTTGGATTTTCTTCTAATGCGACGTGGGATTGATTTTTGAAGATTGGAGGGGACCCGTTGAGGTGTTTGTCATTCGGGGTCGCCTCTTCTGGTGTCAGAGTCAGCTTGGGGTTTTCCGAATCTTCTAGTTCACCGGAGTCTTCTTCTATGAAGGGTTCCAACTGAAACAAATCAGAAGATACAATAGCACATACATAAACTCCTGTCTTTGTCAGTATACAGAGACTGCTAAGCCCCACCTACTACGCTCTATCTTAAGCGTACATCACTTTCATACAGCTGGTCTTAAAAGCAAGCACTCTCTTCTAGCACATATTCTTCTCTACCGAACATTATGTCTACCACAGAAGGGGTCCAATAGGGATGTACATCCGGGCTTGCAGATTTAGGGGACAATAATATACCGCAGCCCTGGCTTAGAGCAGGAGAAGGAACAAGGTGGTTTTGAGTCAGTAAGATTCTGACACTCACGCCACTCAGAAGGAGAGAGGCCATTAAACGATATTCCACTTAAAAAAAATACTTTTATATAAATTTTGGTGCTTAATTATTTAGTATGCAAACAAGAAAATTAATTTAACTAAAAATCGCGGGTTACTCACGTGTATAAATTGAGAAAAGCTCTACTAGTTTCGAACCACACAGGGGTTCTTCCTCATGAGCAGCGTGCGCGGACGCGGCGACGTCGCGCAGCCTACTCAATTTATACACGTGAGTTACCCGCGATTTTTAGTTAATTTAGTATGTCTCACGATAGCTATTATAAAAACAAAGAAAATTAATGTTAATTCAGTACAGAGTGACCATTGCTTGGTTACTGAACCAACCAATATGGTTACAAAAGGCTTCATTACTACATAGTATATAACAAAGTCGCTTTCTGTCCCTATATCCCTATGTATGCTTAAATCTTTAAAACTATGCAACGGATTTTGTGACGGTGATTGAAGTAAAAAGGTAAATGTATGATAATGTCTATTGAATAGTGGAGAAAGTTAGTATTAACATTGCACACGAAAAAAGCCGGCGCGGTTAAAAAAACAATTTAGTGTAACAATAGCCACTATAAGTAGGTATCTGTAGCCAGGGTTGCGGGGCAAGCTATTCCGCGGCCTCGGCCTAAAGCAGGAGAAGGAACGGAGGGGTATTTCGTAGGTAGCTTCAAATAGCTTTCACCCTCGCGAGAGCTTGAGTAATTTTTCCCTCACAGAAATTAAATTTTATATTATTTTATTATTTGCATACGAAAGAACTCAGTTAATTGATATAAATAGATAAAAAGTCATTTTTTATTATAGCTTAGAAAACCACCTAAATAGTATGTCTTAAAAATGATTTAGAAGTCATAATTAAAACATTTTTTTTATAAACATCTTAAACGTATAAAATAAGGTCGTGTTAGTTACACTACTTATACCTCAAGAACGGCTGAACCGATTTGGCTGAAAATTGGTAGGGAGGATAGGATAGGGTAGGGTAGGAAGGCAACTAGGTTGGATAGTATAGGTAATCAAAGCGGAACAAAGCCGCGGGTAAGAGCTAGTTTTAATAAATGTCAGTCAGTCGATCCGTTACTGAAGCTAACTCGTTTGTTAAAAAGAAAAAATGAAACAATACTTTTTCTTATAAAAAATACATAATTTATTTCACCTATATTTAAACTTACATTACAATGGCTTACAACCTAACATTAGCTATTTAAGATAAGTCAACAATTAAGTAACATAAAAAAATTACCTATTTTAACTTAGACCAGTAATAAATCTAGATAAAAATTCATAAAAAAACACATGTTTTTAATGTTATGCCCTCATTATTAAGTGAAATAGACAGATCTAAGGAGCTCAAACTCGATCAGCCTTATTACAAAACAAGGATATTCTTTAGTCTAGGTATAAACCATTGAGCCAGTTTTTAACCCCCGACGCATAAAGAGGGGTGTTATAAGTTTGACGTGTCTGTGGCATCATAGCTCCTGAACTAATGAACCGATTTCAATTTAGTGTTTTTTGTATTACAGGTGTTTTACGGGCGAGTGTTCTTAGACATGTTTGATGAAAATCGATTGCGCTTTTTAAAAGTTATGGGGTGTTAAAGTGGGGAAGAACAACTGAATGTCTGCAAATATGCTCAAGTGCGGTATCAAATGAAAGGTAATGTAAACTTGTACGTCACAAAAAAACAAAAACTTTTATAAGTTTGACGTGTCTGTCTGTATGTCTGTGGCATCATATCTCCTAAACGGATGAAGCGATTTCAATTAAGTAAGTTTTTTTGTATTATATACTTTTTAAAGGTAGCTTATGTTTTTTGTGTCGGGTGTTTTTAATTTTTAATTTATTAATATTGTATTTCAAATTGAAGGTAGGTGACAATAAGATTGAAAATACAAAACCTGACTCAATTGTTTAAATCTAGACTAAAGTGATAGATTTATCATCTTGCTATATAATAAGACACCACAAGGTTAAACACTTTTCACTTTTACACCAATTTTCCCTAATTATGGCACTTTATCTAGACATATTACAGATCTAAGTAAGTAATAATAATAAAAAATACAAATAATGGAAAAAACATCAAGGAATGAACGAAATGGATAAGGAATGAAATATAACTAATTATAAACGATTTTAATAATGAATGGATTGATTTCGAAATACTTAAATGGTAATATTATACTTACAAATTACCAAAAATAACTAATTTATAAAGTAATTAAAACAAAATATTTGGCAAGAACATTGAACATTTTTATAGGTTAGGTCCAATGATATCATAAAGTAAAATGGCGTAGATAGGTTCCATTAACAACATTCGATTTTCAAAACGGCACACTAATGCACACATGAACAATTCGTATGATTAAACGTCAAAGTGGGATGGCATGATTCAATAATTGCGAGTGAAAAAGAGACAAATATAAAAAAGAGTGGCTAGTTAGCCACATTTTAATGTATCGCTTGCTGAGCGCTTGTAACCTATCTACACTATTTTACTTATATTATCATTGGTTAGCGGCCGACCATAAATTAAGCGAGGTGTTTTTTTAAATTTTCGGCCCTTCCCTCCCCCCCTGGTGAGATGTCGTGAGATTTTATTCAACCCCTCCCCCATCCCCTAATCTCACTTGAGATTTTTCAAAATGTGAGTTTATTACGTAAACGCCTTGGATTGTTATTGTAAAAAGAAAAAATCAAATTTGTATCGTCCTTTTGTTAGTTAATGATCTTAATAGTACTACGATTACGCTTAAGATTAAATCCTAAGCATGTACAATCTGGATTAAATAGACCAAAACAGTAATTTTTTTTTTGTTTTAATCAGAAAAGAAAAGGCGTGATATTTGCCGAGATCCTCCTCCCCCCTTAAACACCTCACGTAATTGATGGACGCCCTCTTAGGTCAGTAAAACGAGTTGACAAACTTGTATTACCTGGTAAGCAATCGGCGCCAGTCTTCGACATCCGCAAAATAAACGAGTTACCAGTACGTTGCCTGTCTTTTGAACATTTTAGGAATGGGAGATTGGTTTGTGCTTTGAACATTATTTCTTTATAGATAACAATTCTACTTTAGAACTTGAAAGATCACTACAGACGGGGCCCTACAGGGCTGATGTTCAGTCGGGGTTGCTAGGCAATCGTAATAAGGCACCGCGACCTTGGCTTAAATCAGGAGAAGGAACAGGGGGTGTTTTTAGTCAGTAAGAGTCTGACACTCCCTCTCGCCTCAACCTGGGAGGGAGAAGTTCCCCGCACAAAAAAATATCTTTAAGAACAGTTTCAATAGCTTATTTAAAGATTTGATTTTAAAGAAATACACTTTTAAAAAGTCAAATGATCATGAGTGAGAATAACACCATGCAAATTAGTAACATTGGCTGAAAAAAAATTTTTGAACTGACATACTAACTTATCTCATTTATTGATAATAACGACTTTCTCACGTGAATTAAGTGAAAAAACTCTACTAGTTTCAAGTCACACATCATCAGCTTATAAGTGCCCACTGCTGAGCAAACGCCTCATTTCACACGGATTAGATTTGAGTATTAATCACAGCCCAGTCAAGGTTTCCCTACCATGTTTTACAATACGGTAGTTTCCAACTAGTAAAATTCAATACTTTTATCCAATAAATGTCAAAAACGATACTTTTCTATGAAATTAAAAATTATGACCTCATATTATTTTTGCGTCAGATGACTTACTTATTTCTTGAAAATTAGCTAATCAAATTGAAAATTTAGTGTATCGACAGATCGATGAATAAAAGTACGGTTATTTTTCAATAATTGATTGTATTGAAACGTCAAATTAATTTACTTTTTGAAGTAGGAAACTACCAAAAACTCGAAACCATTTATTTCAATTAGACCCTTACTGCCTGTAACAGTCTTTTTAAACGTCGAACAAAATTTAAAGATATAAGTATAGTGTCAGTCTGTCGGACAGTCCTTTTAGTGAAGCTATTTGCTCGTTCCAAAGTGTAGATTCCTATGAAGAAGAACGAGCAAGAAATTCCATGGTTCCTCTTTTCAATCAGTTTCACATACAGATTCCTTAAACAAACAGTTGGTTAAATTATGTGAGAACAATGTAACACTGTAATATTTATTCAGAGAAATATAAAAAGAAAATAACCTTAAGGACAATAGACAGTCCGGAACTGACCAATTAGAAAGTACATATGACAATAGTTCAAGTCAAAACGGGACCCTTATTCATGAGCGGTCGAAAAACGCCCCGATATGAACTTGAACGCTAGTAGAGCTTTTCTCAATTAACTCACGTAAGTAATTCGATATTTTAATTAAAATAAGTATGTCTCACAATAGTAACTATACAAAAACAAATACCTACATTATATAAACACATAAAATGACCCTTAAAAACTAATAATTCAGTTTGAAATTCGGAAAAAAATTAATAACGCCTCTCGCCAATGGGATAAACATAGATAAAAAATAAAATATAACACGTATTATTCATCTAATATTGAATAACACCAAAGTATTGGAGGGCAAGTTTATTATAGCAAGAAAAAAAAACATCATATAAAAATATACTCGATATCTGATTAACTTTTCATTCAATAACTTTTTTTTTCAAGGAAAAGGGACCTCATAGTATAATTTTCTCCTGAGTCGTGTTTTTAA